GGTGTTTACCATTTAACGTGTCAAGACTACAATAGTGTATATATAGTTCAAACAGGACGTGCCACAGAAACGAGATTACAGAAAATATACAGACCAGTCTTCTACTGTAAAAACAACCTAGGTAAAATGGGGAACAACAATGACAGAATCGAAAAGTACACCAACAGTGGTGTTTACCATTTAACGTGTCAAGACTACAATAGTGTATATATAGTTCAAACAGGACGTGCCACAGAAACGAGATTACAGAAAATATACAGACCAGTCTTCTACTGTAAAAACAACCTTGGTAAAATGTGCAACAACAATGACAGAATCGAAAAGTACACCAACAGTGGTGTTTACCATTTAACGTGTCAAGACTACAATGGTGTATATATAGTTCAAACAGGACGTGCCATAGAAACGAGATTACAGAAAATTCTAGAAGCTGGAAATTAAGAAAAATGGATTCAACCTCTGCATCCAAATTATTGAAACTAATCACCAATTTGATCCAGAAAAATACTGCAAAATTTTACATATCTGTGAAAAAGGTAAAAAAACTAAACAGTCTAAAAATTTTAGAAATATATAGAAATCTAAAAACAAATTCAGATAAAGTTCTAAACGACCAAACCAACTTAAGCTACTCCCCACTACTTACCCCAGTTGTCTCTAGGTGAATGTCAAGGTAACTTCCAGTTCTTTGTTTAAATATATATATAAACCTTGCTACAAACAAATTTCAGTATTTATAAACCTCGTTCTATTTACAAACACTAAGATATTTACTAAGTTTACCATTATTAGAAGTAAAAATAACTTTTTCGTTTATTGTTTTATAGGTAAACTTCTAGTATAATCTACATCCAGATATTTAATAAGGAATCTCACTTACTTGTGAATGTAGTATGTTTTCAAAATATTAAGATCTTTTACAAACCTTCTGTGCTGGTGTTTTCTGAAAGTCCAATCAAATGAATTAATAACAAGATTATCGTAAAAGTTGCCATCCTTTGACCTTCACTGTTGACAGCGTTAAAGTACTCGATACCCAGGACTTTCTTTCCCTTATATATTAAGTGAGCATTTCACAAGAACAAGGAACAAGGTCAACAATAAGATCTGTAGATAAGAGGATGTGCCCATACTTGGACTTTCTGCTAGAAACTCTTTGTGGCTTAAGCTAAAATGTACCAGATCATAGTCTGAGAACTGCCATAAGGTCATTTAGGAGCAAGTAAGTTCCAAAGTGCAAGTGTAGAACAGTATTTTCGATAGGTCAGTCAGCGGAACATATTATATTAAAATAAACATTTCAAATTTCACATTTGAACTTCTTTTATAAGCCGCATAGCTGAGAAAGAAAAAAACTATATATAAACCTATTTTGATCGTATACATTCACACAAAATGTTCTTTATAAGCTAATTACTGGCCAGCGAAAAAACTGGAAATGTTCGTTAGTCAACAAACAAGAACATTGTCCGTGTTAACATTCGCGCTTAAAAGTTATTTGGTTGTTATTTGTGGACTTTTGCCTCGAAACTGTTTTCGTTGGATTAAATGTGCATCTGACAGAATTTCTTTATTGGTTGTAAATAGTAAAACTTTTGATTTTTGGTTCACAACGTTTTACCAGGTTTACCTGTCATCACTTGGTGAAACGTTGTGAACAAAATAAACAAAAGTTATCTATGTACATTCGATAAGGAACTTGTGTGAATTTTTTTGTAATCATTAATAAAATGTATCTCTGTTCTCTAGATCTTTTTTATTACAAAATAAAAAATTCCAGAGTAATGGGCTCATACTCTCTTTCTTCATTAAAACCATTATCTATTTTAAATCTTTTTTTTTTTTTACTTATAACTATATTTATGTATCTAACCGTAGGAATTAATCTTGAATATTTTCTTTATGTGAAGTGCTCATAAATAAGGAACGTACCCTTATCCTCACTTGATAATTTTTATAAGCCTACCAACTGAAAGTGTAGCAAAAACGTAGACTGTGAAATATTGTTTGTATCTCCTTGTCTGTATAAAGATTTACCCTAGAAAATTGAATGTCAGAAATAGAGTAGAATTTACATTTTAAGTATTTCAATTTGGTTATAATTTTATTGAGACTTTCAAAACAGATCAATATAGCAACATTTAAATTTCATGAACATTGTGTTATATGCGTAACTAACTCTCTTGATTTCATGACGAATGTTTTGGTAACTGAAGATAATATAAAAGTCTTTATACATTTTAACCCCAATGGCTTAGCGGTAAGTCTGAAGGCTTATAACGCAAAAAAGGGGTTCGATATCCATGGTGGGCACAGCAGTGATAGCCCATTGTCTAGTTTCGTGCTTAACAAGAGACAAACAAACTTTATGCATTTAAAAATAAAACTTTTATAATGATATATATATAAGCTGAATGCCTGTCATATGACGGGAAATAATGCTTAATTTTTCTTCTCAAAATTATATCTAAATAAATGTTTTATGAATATATTTTCTAAGAATTAGTTGTAATCTAGTAACAATACATGTTTGGAGAATGACTATCCTATTTCTAGTATTTCACGAAAACAATATGTTTTATGTATATTTGGCCATCTCTTTTACGTATTGCTTGATTAGCATTTTGACTTCTGTATATTTTAAACTATGTTCAAATGTTCTTCTTGATAAATTCTTATAGATTGAAACATACGAAAAACTGATTCTCAAAGACATATTCCTACTTTGTCAACTGTACGGCCCTGCAAATTATTAATTGTGATGGTAAAGGCAGTGAATTTTATTCTGAATATCGGGGTCTTCTAATTGGACTGTCTTCCGGGTTTTGGTATTGTTAGACTGCTGAACTGAAGAAGCGCGCTTTAATTTCAGCATTTTAAAAATTGAAATATGCTACAGGTAAAACATGCGGGTTATTATAGAGTTGTAGCCAAGAGTTCCGATTGGACAAAATTTGGTGATGTTGCGGCAATGTGTCTTCTTTACAAGCAAGCAAATGTAATGGTGAATTTCAGCCAATAATTAAGACTTTTTTGCACCAGCAAGACCAAGCTTGGGGCGCGCGTATACCCGATTCGATTTTATTACTCATCACGATCTCTACCAACCTACCCTCAAATCTAATTATATGCCCAAAGTAGTGCATCATTCTGTTTATATATATATATAGTTTTTTGTTGTTTGTTATTAAGCACAAAGTACACAATGCGTTATTTGTGCTCTGTCCATCACGGGTATTGAAATGCGGTCTCTAGTGGTATAAATCGGCAGACATGTCCCTGTGCCACTGGGGGGGAGGGGCATATATATATATAT